ATGTGTAGCTGAGGATGACATTTAACTTCTGACTTTCCTGTCTCTACTGTGATTACACAGACATGCATCACCATGCCTTTTGTGTGCTGCTGGGGATTGAATCCAGGGTCTTGTTCATAATAGACAAATACTCTACCAGCTCACATCCACAACTTCTTATTCTTTCTGGCCCATGTGATATTTTCCCCATGTTATAAAACAGCTAGAGGGTACTCACAAGACATGTTTCCTCCATGAGGCAAATAGACTTCTATCATTTATAAACTGCTCAATCTGTGGTATTCTACTATAGCAACAGAGTGTAGGCTTTCCAAGGGACATTGGCAATACCTTGGGACATTTTTGCTGGCCACAACTGGAAAGAAATAGGTACTACTGGTATCTATTAAACAGAGGCCAGGGATGCTGCTAAATACTCTGTGATGTACATAGGACAGTTCCAACATCAGAGAATAATCTGGTCCATATATAAGTACTGCCTTAGTGTATATTTCAATTCAGACATGGAGTGTACATTACCATGTTGATCAATTCTACTCTAACAGCTCCCCTTAGGAAGCAGCTGGTGGTTCAAAGGCCTTTGATCTTAGACACTGCTGGGAATTTGACTTTCCAATCATGTCACAAGCATTAATTATAACACCGTTTACTCTCATGTTTAAAAAAGAAGCATTGTTTCAAAAGAATAAAATGAAACCTGAGAAGCAGAGCCTTGCTGTTCTAACTCAGGGCAGAGGCCCAAGCACTGCTTCTCTCCTGAGCAATTGTTTTCTGCTCAGCTAAAATGCTTGGAGACTTTGGGAGAAAGGCTAGCCACCAGGGAAACAGGAAGCCTTTCCTCTCCAAGAGGACTGAACTTGAAAGGTCAGTTTTAAACAACTTAGGTAGCTGGGTCCCATCACAGGAAGGCCCCCACTCTGAATCTGGAGAGCAGATGTACTGTGGTGCTTCCTAAGAAGAGAGGGGACTTTGAGGAGACTGAGCATGAAGACATCAATGGGTAACTAGAAGATAGGCTCCATATGGAATGTGTCCACATCCCCAGGCCCAGAATGAATGAGCTTTGGGTAGAGAAAGTAAGCAAAAGCCCCACCATTTCATAAGTCCTTTAAAAGTCCCTATTTACTCAAGCTCTGCTCACTATATAGCCAATGAGTCTATGGCTGCTTCATGGAAATATCAAATACAATATCTGTCATAAACCTCTAGGGATCAATGATCTAATGATGATAATGAGGCTCCATATGTCACTACCATAGACAACAATTTCCAAGAGGCAAGCCAATGATGCTAGTGATCTCAGAGGTGGTGCACATGACTAGTTACTGAGTGAGATGTGACAGGGAAAACTTAGCCTGTGTCCCACTCCCACCTCCAATCATACTTTATTCAGACGCCTGATCCCACCTTGTACAAATTCTGTAAGGGAGTTTTATTTTCCAAACGTACTTGTACATATAAAACAGTGGTTCCCAACCTTCCTAATGCTGCGACCCTTTAATAACAGTTCCTCATGTTGTGGTGACCCCCAACCATAAAATTACTCCATTGCTACTTCATAACTGTAATTTTGCTGCTGTTATGAAAGGTAATGTAAATATTTGAAATTCAGGATATCTGATATGCATCCCCTGTGAATGGGTCATTCGACACAGGTTGAGAAATACTGATCTAGAGGCTTCTGAATCTGTAAGGTTGAACTAATAGTTCAGAAAGATGCTAAAGAGCCCTGTTTTTTAAGCCATGTTTCTACCCCACAGAGACCACAAATCTGCACCAATTGTAATAAGAAAAAGGGAGACACCAGATGTGATAAGCTGAAGGCACCTCAGGGCAGTTTGTTATGAATATTTAGATAGTTTTCCTCTTGTTATGAAAATTGTGGCAATCTGTTCCCCAGCATGAGTTGCTGATGAATTTCAGCATCACGAAAGCCTTTTGTTTGGGGGTTGGGTGGGGAGAATGTTGCCTGCTTAAATAAATCTGGATCACTCAAAAAAATACCAACTCATATGAGTATTTTTGAGTCATCATAACTCTGGATCCTGATGTGAGCTTGTGGCTTAGTGTGCTGAGGAGACAGCTGGCAGGAAGCAGCAGTCCTCCTCTGTGCTGCTGGGCATCCTTTGCCATTGGCTTCTATTTCAGGCCAGAAGGAAGAAGCAACAAAGCTGCCTGGTGTTTTACATAGGCTGCTCAGCACTCTTCTACCTGAACACAGATGCAGCATCAGCATCCAGAAACAGGGAACTGGCTCAAAAGTTGGAGGAATTCTAGTGGCCTAGGGTTCTACTAAAGAGCAATCACGAGAGAGCAATTACCCTAAAATTTTCTCTTGGCAAGGAAGGTCAGAAGGAGAATGTGTACCATAAAATTCATCTGTGAAAGTTCTCGTTCTCGGATCCATGGAAAATGCCCAACAGTAAACAGTAAATCTCTCAAGGCCTTGCTGACCTGGAGCACACTGACAGGCATATTAAAATTGATTTTCAACAATACCACATACTCTCACTGAACAATTCATGTATTCCTTTCGTCTCTCCCATCAGGCTGCTCAATGCTTTGGAGTGGGAAAACCTTCCACAATGAGTCCTAAAGCTTGCAGGACTGAATGAGAGGATGAAGGTGCTGGGGGAAACCTAAGGGCTTTTCTTTGTCTAGAGCAACACTCTCATATATAAAGCAGACCATGAGAATAATAACCAGAGAAATCAAAACAAGTAATTTGTCTGAGCTCTTCCTAAGACTGGTCCTCCTAAGACTCTAAGACAAAACACTTCATTTACTCTCTGTTAAATCCCTTCTTTATGAGTAATCAATTCCCTGACCATGAGGCTTCCAGAGATCCAGGTACATGGATGTGGCTCACTGGTATTTCTAGGACTGAACAAGGTATGGGCTAAGGCCAGCATTCTACCACATGCCTAAGGTAGCTGAGCATCTGCAACTGTGTACATCACCTAGCCCAAGGAGCCCATCTTAGGCCCTCTGAACTAAAGTTCCCAGAAAAAAAAAACACATATATGTTGAAGGCTCTACAGGGATGACTGTTTCAAATTTTGACTGTGAAGAGATGGAACAGTGTAGATCTTTGAGAGTCAAAATTACCTTGGGCTATCTTCATTCCTCTTAATAACTATGTACCACCTATCTTGGTACCAGGTAAATTTCAAAGGTAAAACCTTTGAAAGGTATACTTAGCAGATCACTAGCATCCACAAATCTAAAAGCTAAGAATGTCATAAGAGAACATCTAAAACCTAGCCTTCCTACCTGCTGTTTCCACTGAAGTGTTGTGTAAAAGACTTGACTTATGACTTCTGTTTGCTCTGAGGCTATAAAAGGGCTCATATAACTGTTTCTGTATTGGAACATGTCATGCAGAACAACCTGAATGCATGTTCCCAGGCCATGTTCACTCATATTTGGCTCAGCAGAAAGTATCTCTGTGAGAGCTGTGGTTTTCTGTCAAGAACTTCAACATTACTCTTTCTACCATCAAATATGATCACCAATGGGCATGTGGAAATGTGGCTGCTACTCTTAAGTGGGATACACAATACCTGCAAACCACATAGAACACTGTGAAAAAAAATCACAAAACGTCCAGCATCTTCTTAATAATTTTATAGAGATTACATATTGAAAAGATTGTATGTGTTGTGCCAGGTTCACGGAGGCCAGAGACTAACCTGAGGAGTCGACACTCTGATGCAAAAACAAAAGGTTTCTTTTTATTTCAAGCTGGCCAGCTAGGATCTCACTGTATGGTGGGAAAATGAGATCCCACCCAACCAAAAAGAGAAGCTTTTAAAGGGGCAGACAATAAGGCTGAAGGCCACAAATTACAGAGTTTCCTTGGTTACTTAAGGTCATACAAAGTACAGAGTTAGTCAGTAACTGTACATTTTAAGGGAGATACATTTGACTAAGATAAGACAGGGCATGGCCTTGGAGGGTTACAGAGTCACAGGGTCTGTCAGTTATCCCCCATCTTTATGACCAACAATTAGCAAAGGAATGTTAACAGGAGTGGTGGACAGTTACTTCTCCTTCTCTGAGAGCAGGGGATCAGGCACCAGTCATGGCACTCCTGATTTAAGGAGTTAAATTTTCCTTTATCATTAGATGTTCCCTTTCAGGGCCTAAGTTTTTAAACTTTTATTAATTTGAATTTCTGGTCCCTCATTATGTACATATACTGACTTAAATACATTAAAATTAGCTTCCAGTTTTTAATGTGGTCAACAGAAATTTTTAAATTGTATTCAGAATATGTGTGATAGTTCTATTGGATAGCATCGTTCTAAAATGAAACTAATCTCTTCCCATCTACTCACCTAATCCCTCTAAAAGATTTGAGTCTCTTGCCTAAAGATGCCACGGAAACATCTGGAAACATTCAAGAATAGATGTTGGAGTGTGGGGAGAGAGATGGCTCAGTGGTTAAGAGTGTGTACTGCTCGTCCAGAGGAATGGAGTTCAGGTCCCAGCATACCCACATCAGGTGGCTCATAAATGACTGTTACTCTAGTTCCCAGAACTCAAACTCCTCCAATCTCTGTAAGCACTTGCATTCGTGTGCATATATCCCCATACAGACATACATGCATACACATAATTAGAAATAAAAAATATTTTTAAAAAGATGTGTTGAGGCCAGCATAAATGAAAGGAGAGTGATGATGGCTGAATGATTAGATCTCTCTACTGGAAGATCCAGGAATCCCTGATATGCTTTAGTTAGTATTCTTCTGAGTCCTTGGGCCACCTAACTTGTGCAAATATGGAAAAGCTCTAGCTTTGCATGTTGCCACAATGTATGCGACAGGAAAGAAGCAAACTGCCCACATGAAAAACAGAAGAGTTCTGATTTTAACTAGTCCTTCCTGTCTACTCATGGAGATCTAAGGAAACACATTTGTGTGCTTTTTTAAATGGACAGATACAGAAAAGCTTTCAGAGGCATATAAGGATTTTTAGCAATTAAGGAAACTCACTCTTGGTCCTGCTGTCCATTTCTGTTTTTGATGGATCTGGAGTTGCCGTAGCTGGAGGTAACTTCTTCCCAATTGTCTGAGGAGGGAATAAGAAGATTTACACATCAGGATGATCCTCTTCATTAATCAAAGGGACAAAATAAAAATCACAATGAGAAAATCCCCAGACCTGGTTCTAAAAACCACAGGCATGAGTTGAGACTGCTCTGTGGATTGGCTGCTGCATATTAATGGATCTTATCCTCAGTGACAAACAAAAGTGTAAAACAGGTAAAAAGGACTTTTTCCTTGAAGGCTCCTCGCGGTGCCTTGTATTTTCTTCCTCTCTTGGTACTTTTTACAGGTCTGTTATTTCAAATAGAAAAAAAGGTACAGTTTCCTTCATTTTATGACAAGCTGATCAAATTTATGGAGGTCCAGTGTGTGCCACAGTGCAGATGCTCTACAATAACCCCATAGTGGAAGAGTGAAAACAAGTGGGAAGAAAGGAAAGGAAGAAATACAGGGATGAGAGCTGGAAGAATGGCTGGAGGTGGAGAGTGGACAGGCAGGCAGAAGCTAGACTGTTCAGAACCAAAGGGCCTTACATTAACTCCTTCTTACCATCTAAGATTCCACTTACCTTGTGGGTGTGAGCAAAATTTTCTTGTCCTTTAGAAAGAATATACCTATCTCCTAAAATAAAAGCAAGGAGGGCCTTCAGCTCCATTCCTACCAGTTGGTTAGTTCTCCAAGACCTAAAAGGTTCGTACCTCAGATCCCATACGGCATTGATTAGTTTTGCTTAACAAAACTCATTGAGTCTGCTTTGACTCCCCTTCTCTTTCATTTGAAGCTAATTCTGTATTGTATCTCTGCTAAAGATGTTCCCAAAGCCACAGGCTACCCAGCAGTTCAGAACCCAAATCAAACATAGGAACAAACTAACCCAATGGTTACAGAGATGGGAGCTGTTCCCACACTTCTTTCTGCCATTGCACCCATGTAAACAAGGATGGTGTCCAATGAAAAGCTGTCCACTGACATGAGAGAAACAGTCGTCACAATCAAATAGCCATGTGAATTTTCATCCCCAACAATGAAGCCACTGGGAAAAAACAAACTTCTCTGTCCCTTAAGCATAGGGGGAGCAATATAAGCTGTGTCATTAAAAACTGGCATGGTTGAATTTTTCCTCAGATGAAACTCATTTGCCATTTTTTTTATTTGAAAACGTTCTTCAAGTTGCAAATGCTGAAGATAACATTAAATATGAATAAATCACAGAAAGAAGAAAAGATAAATCAAATCTTCAGACCTTCATGAATTTTTAAAAATGTTTGTAACAGAAAGCCTTTCATTTTACATGGTGACATTTTTCTTTAGTGCCACAGGCTTTCTATATTGGATAAAAAATGAAAACCCCAAATAATATGCCACTCTTCTACCACTAAGTACTCAAACTAATAATATTTTACAGTTCCAAGGAAACATCAAGGAAGATAAAAAAAAAGTTTGATGTTCTGCTGCTAGAAGGTCAAATTTGGTGAAAAAACAGTTTGGGGGAATGTACTAAAAAGTCAGGAGGAAACCTGGAAGCTCTGGAAGCACTATTCACTATCACTCCTGTCCATACTGCTGGAAGCATGCCTGTCAGTCTCTTTGCCTCTCCCTTTGGGCAGTGGGGCTGGAATAAAGCTTTACTCCCATTAACACATTAGGGAGAGGCAAACAAAACCAAGGAAAACCTCAGTTACCATTAACAATGAAAAGAAGGAATCTGGAAATGCAACAATAGCAAGGGGCTGTTGCCCATCTTAGCTTTGTTCACTCTCCTAAAACAAATAAACAAACAATCACAAAACAGAGAATATGAAATGAATGTCTTGGGCTTTAAAGAAGAAATTCCTTCTTCTAGATAAAGTATTACAGATTCCAGAACCTTATGGGATTTCTCCTATGGGAACCAAAGAAAGTGCTGCCTTCATGCCTGACATCCTGATTTACCAGAATGTCCAAGTTACCAGACACCAAGAAGGAGTACCAGTTTAATGCACTTACAGAAGAAACAAATGTGCACCCTGCCTTTTCTCTTCAATTTTTCAGAAAATTCCAGTGCTCTGGCTTCCATGGATCCCAGAAATAGGGGTCACTGTGAAGTTTGTGTTATGCTCATCTTCTGGGGGATGATGAACCTTACATCCTTTGCCTTTGTGGGCCATAATCAGAAGTCTAGAGGGTAAGCCATGCTCTTCCCATTCAGTCAGGTCCTACAGGAATTCCAGAGGCAGAAAGCACTGTAGTGCTTCTCTCTCTGCTAGAAGCTACACTGGCTAGTTAACTGACAAAGACTGAAAAAAACCTGTCAGATGGGCACATTCCCAAGTCTTGTCTGCAGATCTTCTCAATCAGAAACCCTGGGGATGGTACCCAGCAGAATCTAAGGGGACACACCCTCTGTAGGACTCCGATGCATGCTTGAGTTTGAGAACCACTAACCCTGATGTAACAGGAATTCTGTTAGTGAATATTAAATGTCCTTTATTGGATTAAAAATTCTGGTTCCTTTTTCCATACCTGGATACATTATAAAACATCTTTTAATGCTTCTTCCCCACTTCTTTCCACAACATGCTCTTTCTCTTTTCTCCTGGTTTATGAACTTAACACTGCTACTTTAAATTGCACATGTGCATCTACATTATATATAACTGGAGCCCGGCTACAAGGCAGGCCCACATATACATGCACAAATAAAACAGGATCTCAAACTCCTGGAAGGCAGCAAAGGTTAGGCTTATTCTGGGTTGTGCCAGAGGACTCAGGACCTCCTCTAAAGACCTTTCACAGAATGGCAACTTCTCACCCTCCTGGGTATCATAAGGAAGATGGTTTTCCCAGAACAAGCACAGTGAAGGGGGGGGTGCACAGGGGTTGTGCTGGCATAAGGCATAGTTCAGCTAGCAGCCTCATTTCACAGACTCTCATGTTCTGCTCTCTAGTTTGGCCCTACATTTCCTTTTGCCTTCTGTCTAAGTGCCTAAACAGCTCCCAGCAAAAGTATCTATGCTGATCCAGTGTGCCTGTGCCCTGACCCAGAAGCCACTGCCTGGAATGGCAATAGTTATGTACACAGAGGAAAACAGAGAGCTGAATACTCTGCAAATAGGCCAACACTTTGGATATGCTTGAAGACTCAGTAATTATTACATTGGTATCACTTTTTGTCTCTCACCTACAGCACCTACAGGCTGAACTCCATGTAAGACCTAATTTAGGGGCTAGAGAGATGGGTCAGTGATTAAGAGCACCTAACTGCTCTTGCAGAAGATCCAGGTTTGGTTTCTAGCACCTACATCAGGTGGCGCACAAACACCTGTGACTTCAGTTCCAGGGGATTCAATGCCCTCTGAAGTCTGAGGGCATTTGCACAAATGTGGTGCATATAAATTCATGTAGGCATACCATATATGTATAAATAAAAATAATAAATACATCTTTAAAAACAAAACCAGGGCTGAAGAGATGGCTCAGCGGTTAAGAGCACATACTACTCTTGAAGAAGACACAGATTCAATCCCAGAACCCTCTGAGCAGTTCACAACTGTCTGTCACTCCAGTTCCAAGGGATCTGACGCACTCTTCAAGCCTCCTTGGGCATTGCCTGCACATGGTGCACATCTATGCAGACAAAACCCCTATAATGTAAAAAAATATATAACAAAATATTTTAAAAATAAAATCTAATTTAAAAAACCAGAAAATCTATTCCTTTTACTATTTAATAATAATATTACTCCATCTCCCTCTAGTTCTTACTAAGTGCACTAAACAAAATTTGGTATGCATGCAGGGGTGGAAGCTGGGGAATTTCATACACATGTGTTTCTAACTCCACGAGATCCAGCAATACAGCATCAGAACAGATAAGCATCATATGATTTCAATTAGCAGAGTAAGTAACATTTTCCCTTTTACATGCCAAGATAAAGACAATCACTGGATTTGAGTTCAGGGAAATCCAGTTCCCAAATGATGAATGTATCTGTTTCTCGTTGTGACTGTGGAATCTGAGTACTGCATCCTGCTCAAATCACTGGTATAAAACCACTCCTCTGCTGTTATAATCCAGTTGCAAACTCCCTTGAGTGTAAATAGTTTCTAATTACAGGACAATGCTTAAATCACACCTCTGAAAGTCCCCTTTCCAAAGACCACTACACACAAGTCTTGCAATCCCAAGGCAGCAAGGATAACTGGGGTTGGGGTGAAGACTCTCTGCATCCTATCAGTTAGCAACTGTTCTAGAACTATGTGATGGTCTGAGAAACTACACGAAGCCATTACTCATGCACTCACACAAAGGCAAACACAAGGGTAAAGCCCAAGATCAAAGATGGCTCTTTTGTGTTATTCTTTATATAACACTAGAATCTGATAGTACCTTTTCTCTTTCTGCTCATTATAGATTCATTAGGGCCTATTTAATATGACACAAGAAAACAGACAAGAAGGCGAGAAGCTGTTGAGCACTGAAATGACAACTTTGTGGAGCTGGTTCTCCACAGTACTGTGTAAGGGGTACCCAAGAGTGCAGTGTAGTTACCCTTATCCTACTCATTTCCAAGAGATGGAGAGATACAGGGTACAGATCACAGTGATGAAAGGCAGTACAAAACCATAACTACATGTAACTGTATCTGCAGCTTTTCTTTTTTTGTCTTCTACAAAAACTCTTAACTTTATTTACACACAGTCCTTTCATGATCACCTAATGACTCATGGCATTATGAAAAGTCTTCTGGGCATTCTGTAGGGAGTGGCAGGAGCTGAGCATGTCAGAGCCAGAAAAGAACCAATACAAAGAGCTGTCTTTACAATGGAGTGCCTCGTGAGCTCCTACTGGAAGGCTCTCAGTTGTGTGGGTAACTGCCAATTTGCTTGCACTTGATGGACCCCACATCAACAGTATACCAATAAAAGATATGCCACAGTAAAACACATCTTGAAGTTCTAAAAGTAAAAGGTATGGCCTAGTACATGTAGTTCTAGTACAGGGTCAGGGTTTGCTTTGAAATATCTCCTGTGTTGCTATGT